GTTAATTGTTTTTCTTTGCTTAATTGTGTTTAGTGAAGAAGCACCTTTTCTGACTGGCTCCATCTAGTGTTGAAACTGAGAAGTGCAACAGACTTGAGCTCAAGCGCCATGTGCGGGCCATATTCAATTATATTTTCAGAACTTTTTGCGGGCCAATAAAAACTGCCCCGCGGGCCGCAGTTGGCCCGCGGGCCGTAGTTTGGACACCCCTGCTCTAAAGGAAAATGTATGTGTATTGTTCCTCAGATGAAAATACAGACAGTGATGAGAAAACAATAAATCATATAATTTCTTTCCTCCTTGGCAGTACTTGAACAGAAGTATGTTACATCCATAATACTATAGTAGGACTGTGGTGTGGGCACGAATTAAATGTTAGATACATAAGACAATTTCTAGACATTTCAGGGTTCCAGTTTGAATGCCAGGCGACTCCACATGGGGTCGCAACCCCAATGTTGAATAAGACTGACTTAACTATTATGCTATCACATAATTGGAACAAACAACCAGCATAAACTTTCTTTTCGATCTTTCTTTAAGTTTGTTCCAGTTTGTTCCTGGGCCACAAATGTTCATAAGCCTGATCTATGTCTTTTTAACAGTTCTGCTCCCTGTACGGACACAAACCTTCAAATACTGCACGGCCTTCTCTCCCATCGCGGGCTTAGAATAGCACTCTGCCCAGACAGGTGCCAGGTTGGAGGGGTAAAATTCAAAGTGTTTGGAGTGCGTCATCAGGTTGTAGTCAAACCAGGCGCCCCTCTCAGCATCCCAGAGCACGGACTCGATGGCTGCCAGCCTACGGTCTACAGCCAGGTTGAACCGTGCTGCTGACTCAAAATCATCTGTCAAGACAAGGCTCATCGTCACACTTGGTGCTAAATTCAGATCAAAGCAGTTCATGTCTATTTGTATGCCTCAAAGTTTAATTTCTGTACTGGAAGTAATATCATTTTTCAGATAGCGGTCCTAGATCAGCAACAACTAAACAACAAAGACACCTTTAACACAGAAAACTCTAGAAGAAGAGAGAAATGTATGCTACTGTTTATAGACTTATGTCCTAATTATGAAATGTTTTAGGGTCTGTACTAAAAATACTAAAAAGATGGCTGTTGTTATCAAATGTTTATTAATGCTGTGTCGATTAGAGCAGATGTGGGAGTTCATTTGTCATTATTCGGAGAGGAAGCTCAAGCTATTCTGTCAAAGCAGACACTACTTTGGACAACACCACTCAGGGAAATACAGGTTGTGCAGAGTAAATAACACACTTCTCTGGTATTAAGCTTTCCATCTGCAGACCTCATGGACTCACCCAGTATCATGTGAAATGAAGCTAGAGTCTTTTCGTTTAGACACATCAGAGCATTCAGGTCTGAGGGCAGGAACTGGCTGGTTCGTGTCTCACTTAGTGTACCAATGTTGTTCCCATCACCATCAATGTACCAGCGGGATGAGAAGTCCCACCCGGATTCAGCACCTGCTTTCAGCTCCATGAGAAGCTGATTTTTCTCATCTGACAATTAAAAAAAAAAACACAAACTCACCGACAGAGGCTAAAACACCAAACTAAAAATGTTGACATTCTGCTTAGTTTTATAATAGGTTTTTAAAATGCCTAAGATTAAAAATGCATCTTCCGAGTTCCAGGACAACAAAACACAAATGATTACCAAAAGATCACATTTCTGATACAGTAATATTTAGCAATTCCCTTTCAAATAGCTTTTCATTAACAGCTCGGTCAAACTGTTTAGAGGTGATGTGAAAGGATAATTGTGTTTCTCATTAAATATTCATTACGGCCCATGATCCTTCAATCCATGGTGAATATTTTTCACCTCTCTGCTGTGGACTTATTAAAAAACATATTACATTCATTTGTGGATTCAGGAGCACACTGTTTCTTTTGTTTTGTATTTTTTCTATCCCTTAGAAGAAATAGAATGGCTTGAGGAAGTCGATATATGCATGCTCATGAGGGGAGCGTTTAATAAGCTATTACCATTGGAGAGTTCTTCAGTTAATTCCAGATCATCTGTGTAGGACTCAGGCCTAGAATAAACAAAGGATATGTACAGGAGTTAACATAAACACAGTCCTCATTTACACTGTCTGTATTTGTATACATGTGTATAGTTTATCTGACGTGTCTCTGACACATACCTGGGCATAGAGATCTCCACATGATACCGGTTCAGAATGTGTTCACTTACAGCTACTGAACGATTCTGCATCCAGAAGTTGTACTCCTGCTCCAGAACTGGTAAAGCTTTCCTGAACATTTGAAGAAGAAAGCAACATTGCAAAGACTTTAAGTTTCGTACAACCAGACAATCTTGGTGTGTTTTTTACTCTGGCATGTTTTGATGGTGAGCGCCTCAGAAGTGCCACTAGATGTCACTGGATGGTGTTTCCTTATCAGCTGTTTTTATAAATTTGTAAACAATTAGAGAAGATGCTCACAGGCCTTTACTGAGGCATCAGCAGTATTTGCTGTCATCTTTGATCAATACCTTGCCAGCACTTTAATTTTGCATAGTCACAAAATCCATCCCTGTTCATCCAATAGGTCCACGACCCAGGATTTAAACATGAAAACTCTTATGATGGTTTACTACAGGAAAACTAATATGGTGTTGAGTTATTATCTGTAACATAGATAGAGAAGCAGCAGGTGTCTGGTGTGTAAAAGAGAGCTGATAAATGATCATTTTTCTGGAAGAACCGCAGCCCGGGCGTGATAATCACCTCAGGAAATTTTTATCCTTGGTGGCTTGATAATAACTATCTACCATCAGAGTGAGAAACGGGGGCTGACTGCGTCTTTCATAGTAAATCCGCCCACCATTTGGAACAAAGCCATATCTGTAGGAGAGTGAGAGAAAAAAATGTATTTAAAATGATCTTGAAACGCTTTCCTCTCCATTTGCAGAAATACCGTCATGTGCAACAAGAGATGAAAGCTGCTCCAGGGCTCACCTGTTGACAAGGCCGAGGAGGTTTTGGATCATTCCGTAGGCTGTGTCTGTCATCTCCGACAGCAGGAGACCATTGATGATCCAGTAGGAGTCCCTGTTGTGCACACAACAGCTTGTGTCACTGTCTAGTACATGGCTCTCAGCAGAGACCTCCTCCACTGTAGCTGTGATCTTTTCTCACTCTGACCTCTCTGAGACTGACAGACAGCTGAGTGACAGGCTTCAACGCTCACTCACCAGTAGTAGATTTCCCTGAAGCGCCCCCCGGGCACAACAAATGGATATGGGATGTATATCTGTGAGTAGAGCTCTGGGTGATCATTAACATCAGTGCTTATCTGGGGGGGGGAAGAAAAAAAAATTAGGATTTATAATCATTTTAATTTACAGATATGTGGGTGGAGGAAGAGAAAGAAATTAGCAACATTGGTATGTCAATGTAGTATGTTAGTATATAAATGTCAGTGACTGTGAAAGAATGTTTAGTGTTGCCGAAAAATCAAGCATTTTACAGAACTTTATCTCGATCAATTTGATCACCACCTTCTCTCATAGTAAACTGTGGACAAACATGTTTGCTTGTCTCCTTTGTGTTGTAACAACATTTACCATGTTATCTTTATCTCAGGTACTGAATTACCATGTTATCTTTATCTCAGGTACTGAAGTATTTAAACAGACAGTTTCAGGATTGTTAGTAATCCTGAAACTGTTATTCTGCATTAAGCAGCACACGTAGTCTGTCTAATCATCCACAGACTTTTCAATAATGGAACTCTACATGTAATGTCTGTTCATGTTGCCCTCACTACAGTATGTCTGCCACCATGAGGAGTTATGAGGTAGTGCAGCTGATGATTTAAATTTGAGGTCTTTCTATTTAGAGAAGGGCCTTACATTTAAAGGCTAACTTTTAGACACATTTTTAGTTAATAATTGTTTGATTTAAGGCATTTTTGGATAAACTTCTATAAATTATTATTATTATTGTTGTTGTTGATTTTGTTTACATTCTTGTTGCCCTTATTGTTGTTGTTGTTGTTGATTTTGTTTTTACGTTCTTGTTGCCAATTGATTTTAGCACCTAGTTTTAGATTTGTGAGAACATGTTTTAGCAACTAATCTGGTAATATTTACTTTAACTTCACAGATCAACAAAGTCTTGATAAACTGGTACCACCATTTAATTATTTTTTGTTACCAAAGACATATATTAAGAATAATGGTTAGATGACTAGTTAAGTGTTATGTCTTCATGATAAACTTTATAAACACCTTCCTGCCAAGAGACTTCCACAGATTGTGAATCTCCTCAGCCCAGAGGCGTAGATTCTGGTCAGCTATCCGTCCCAGGAACTTTGGCCTGTACGTGGAAAAGGTCAGCTCCAATCATCAACAATCCACACAAATTCAAATGCATAAAATGCACAGTCCCAGTCCTCAAACGACACTCACTTGTCATGCCAGTCCGGTGGTGTCCACGGTTCAAACTCAGTCCCTGGCTTGTCAAAGTATAGATTAACAAACTCCTGCAGCTTGGTTGGCGGCACCCGCCCATAGAACATTTCTTTTGAAAAGTTGCGGTAAGCCAACAGAACAACATCTGCAGGGACCAGAAGTGACCTTGTATCAGAATCAAAAATAAATAAAACAATAACAATAAAATAGGATTTTTACCTCGACTTACCAGGCGGGGCCTTTAACTTCATGTCAACAAAGTACTTGTCATCATCAAACAGTCTCGACGTCTGCACTGCAGACAGGATGTTTCCATTGCAATAGATTTCACTGAAATTAAATGGCAGTTTTTTTTAACTTTTAAAACATGACCAATAAACTCCATATTCAGCCTTTTATTACTGTATTATCTCATCTGAAGGTGCAACGATAAAATCTTATCTGGGTTTCCGTAAATACACAGCGTAGAGCAAAGGTCCGCCTCCAAACTAATACAGGCTAAAGATGATTGATATGAAAATATTTAATTTAATTAGTTCAGAATGTGTAAGATTCAACTATTGTTATTGTTGTATTGTGGTGGAGAATATTATGCAACATCATGGGTAAACCTACATTTGTAGATGGGTAGCAACGCAGGTCTTCAAAAACACATTTTCTGTCATTGATTGTAATTTTAACATTATTTATGTGATATTTTAGTGTTTTTTTTAACAATTATATTTTAAATTGGGAAAGTTAAATGCAGCCTCTCCCAACTCGTTGCTGACGGTAAACACGACCTCCTTTTGGTAAACATTACCTGATTAGGTTCATATAAATTCGTTTCTGTGGAGCAAATTTTATCAACACAGATGTTACAGCAGAAAATCAGCAGTTCTGTTGATAGAAGTCGAACTGAGGGGGGAAAAAAACAAAACCCTTTCTTACCTGTCACATGGTGGGAGACCGTTTACACCAACCAGAAGAAAGGCTGCTGAAAAACACCACAACACTCTCTGCATCCTGAGCTGCTGCAGGAGTGACGCTGAGATCGTGAACTGCCGCCTCCACGCCAAGCGGTTTTTGTCGACTCTATCACAAGCGCGAGAAACAGAAAGTGAAAGCAAAGTAACATGGGTCTACGATTAAAACAAAGACATCGATCGCATAATTAATCTGGAGGTAAACTACAAACTACTACGTTACTAATGGTAACTAGAACAGAACAAACTACCAACTAGATTTGAAAATGACACTCCGGCTCTACGAAAACGAAGTCGGAAATAAAAATAGAGTCCGGACTACTGGTCTCTAATGTCAAAGACCCCGCCCCCACAATAATTCTACTGTGTAACAAATGGTATCATCTAAAAACCATAAATATATGAAGTTGTATTTGTAACTCATAGTTAACTATTTATACTTAAACTATTAATCTGTGTGTGTGTGTTGAGGACAAAACTGAAGGTAAAAGATAAAGACACGTCCAATTTTCTTCTCTTCCAATTGGACAATGTCCAGCAAAGCTATCATTTCTGGCTTGGGAGAAATAGTGCCACTATATTTCCAAGAATCAGAGCCAAAAAAAGAAACATTCACATAACAACAAAGATAAGGCACAAAAAATAAAGTCACAGTTCAGAAAAATGGCAGCAGAAACTCTGGACACTTTTGTCAAAACATTGTAATTGAAGAAGAAAATGAACATTCAACTGGTAACTCTGATGTAAATCTTTTTTTTTAAAATAAAATCTAATATTTCTTAAAACTTAGTGCGTTCAGTAAGGTAAATCCTTGAATGAAAGAGATCTTAGTATTTCAGCTCTAAATATTTCCTAAGGTTAAAATCACCTTGTAGGATTTTTTCCTTTGTCAGATTTAATAGTTGACTTAGTGTACAGAATCGAATTTGAGTTTGACTTTATCTCTTTGCTCGGCTGTGATTTATTTAGTTTGTTTTTCACACCCAATGTAACTTTATTAAGGATTCTCATCCATACATTGGTAATGTTTACACCTCCCTGACAGTCCTCTAAGTAATGTCAGACTCATCATTTTACTCTAGTTTTTCTGCAATACAAACATCATTTTGTAAATAAATAAATAAATAAAATCTTTCAAACTACCTTTAATAACAGCTGCAAGACTATGTGAACTGTTGTCATTTTAGCAGTCATTGGCTAAAAAGGTTTTACTAAATACCACACTGTGTTGACACTCCATCCTAATTCAAGTTGAAGAATGAAACCATAATTTCTCCACCACTTCTGATAAAGTTGACCCATCACCAATTAGACTCTATACCACAGGTGTAAAACTACATTAGTTAAAGCAATCATCTGAATGAGCAGTTAATGAGCAGTCCAAACTTACCAGCCCGACTTTAGAAATCATACAATTCTGTCAAAAAAACAGTAACACAGCAGAATAAATTTCAGTGAGCTTTATTGTCAACAAAATGTGCCCAATAATTTTCATGACATCCTTTGAACTGAAGTCCATTGTAAAATTAGCGTCACTGAATTTGCCAATTATATAACCAAATAAAAAACATGAACTCAGGCTTTAACTTCTTCATTTAAATTTGGATACCTCTGTTATTTAAGTTTTCATCAGAAAAAAAATTAATCCAAATTTAAGGGCAACTTTGTTCAAACTATTTTATACCCATTGTCAGAACTTTGGATCACATCTTTCTGTTTTTGTAAACTCCACCCCTTGTAGGACTGATGCATGAGTTTAAGAAGAAACACTTTAAAAGAGGATCATCTCAAGGCCGCCCTTGATAATTTAGTGACAAAAAGGCAAATTTGTACCTGACAGTGAAGTTTCTCATTACTGTGTCACTATAATCAAAGGGGGGCAACTGATGCATCAGGGCAGCAAGTGCACGAATTGGAAACCACCCCACAATTTTTAAAACAACCATAAAGAATGAGACAATTTTGGTTGTAAAAGTTCCAATCAGTCACCTAATCTGAAGGCAAGATGCTCTCGTCTCAGTCTTTATGGCTTGAGATGACAGCTGCTGGTTGCAAATGCTGTTACTTGTTGCACTTTAGAATTCGGTGACATGTTCATGGATCGTTCATTTGGTGCGCCGACAGCAAATTGTTCCAGCAATTGCAACTAGCAACTTGCCAAACAGCAGACAGCTGCCAGGTGTCTGCAAAGTTTAATCCCTGTTCACTTAACTAATGCTTTAACAACTTTGAACTTTTGAAACACTTACCCCCCACCCCCAACAGAGAGAAGAAGAAAAAAAGAGGCCAATTTCGAGTTTGTGAGTACACTGTGTGAGACAAGAGAATTAAGTGAACAGGGATCACAGTCTGAATCAATGAGAATTGTGGTCATTTGTGTTTCTACTTTTTGATTTATATTCTCATTGATCAGAACAGTCAAAAAAAGCATCTTACCACAATGAAGGGGAGCCTCATTGGTAAAAAAGGTCAGCCTAAACACAGTAGTAGCCTGACCTTTGACACAAATGAAGGCTGATTTATTAAAATGAGAGAAAAAAAAACCCCAGTATACAAATCCCAAAAATCTCAAAGCAAACAAGGGCTGAGAAATAAGCAATAAACTCGGCAGTCCGAGGTGCCCATGGATCGATTCTTTAAACAAGCCGATATCAGTAATTTTAGAGTCCCTCATGCCCCTACCCTTACCAAATTATTATACTCATTTTAATCGTCTGCACCAAGACACATCTTGGGTATTAAGAGCGTGCAAATAGGTGTGCAGTCTTTGTTATTGCCTGATTGCATCTCTCAGTGCATTTTAAGTGCAGCTCAACCCGTTCAGGTTGGTTTTTTAGAGATGTGTCTCAAGTTCGCCCGTGGTAGGAAAACCAACAACTTGGAAAAAGCACAGAGAACAAAATACCTGCTACATTATAGGGTTGGGCTTGAATTGATGCATTAGGGCCAATGTAAAAAGAACCAGGGACAAAAAAAATAAAAACATGGCATCCTATCCCGATGTTTGACATGGTAATGTAGCTGTGCATCAAGAGCACAAATCAACGTAACAGCTAATGCCTCCCTCATCCAGAAAACAAATTCTCTGCCAATTACGCTGCACTGCAGCAAGTAGTACAACTATTAAACCCTCCCTCCGTTCCCTTCCCTCCCATCCCAAATGCAAAGATGCACAATCACTTCAGATTGGTTGAGCGCATCTCCAGTCAGTTTCACAAGTCGAGGCTGGTGACAAAATAATTCCTATACTAAAATGCAAAAGCTTAACAAAGCCATCTGCCCAAACCCGACTCTTGTTAACACTGGTAGCAGAAGAATGAGAGTGACACTCAGCGCCTTTAAGTGCAGATCTAAAGAACTGCATTAGCCGTTACAAATGAAGGGGCTAAAAAGAAAAAAAAAAAAGAAAATGTGTTGAGCTCCGTTAACGCGCTCACTCAAATGTTACGTTTTTTAATTCTTGTCCAGTCTGCATTTTTTTTTAAAAAAAATCATAAATAAACTCATAGGCTTATTGCAGAAAATAAACTGGCAGTTAAGGAAAAGTCTCCAGTGCTAACGAGACAAACGAGAAGAGGAAAAGAGCTTTGTAACTTGTCGGCCAGCCTTTTAAACTTGTTTAAAACAATCTTAAAATGAAGGTATTTACACAAATGCATGGTGCACCCCATGTCTGCTGCATTTCTCACAGATTTAAGCATGGCCATCCCTAGGTAGGTGAAACGTAGGACAGACAAAAACAAAAAAAAAAAAAAAAAAAAAGGAATAAAGGCGCTCACTCCAATTAATCTCCACCACTACAGAAATCCTCATGACTCATGGTGTTGAGAAGCTGCTTAGTCGTTTGTAGTGTTCGGTTCTGAAGATAGAGGAAAAGTTTTGGGTCTTTATATTTTTTGAAGCACACACTTCTTCACAAGCAACTGGACAGTCTAGCTGCATCTTGGAAAAAAATATCCAGCATCTCTGTCCATGGAAAATCCAAGTTTTGTCCTCTTTATTATTTTTTTTTGCCAGACTCGGGGTAGAGGGTGGTGGGTGCAGCAAAGCAATTCATCAGATGACCAGGAGGCCTCATCATTTCAACACTGATGAACCAACCAAAAACAGAAGTGTATTCACCTGCGTGGCCAGACAATAATAACTTGTCAGTGGGGTGAACACGAGAGTGTGCACAGCATGAAATGAGCAATGTGGGACTATGAGAAGTTATTACTTTCCAAATGAGTTGTACGGCTTGGTAAGGCACTTGATACAAATCGGTTAAAACTTCCAAACTAAAATGTGGTGTATGGAGAATGACCAGGTAGGGTGGGAGGGGGCCGGGGTTGTGGGCGCTGGCTTTGTGTCAGTGGTAGATATGAACGATTGCGGTGTGCATTGATATTTTCTTCTTGGTCCCATGCTTTCCTCTTGTTGCTCATTAGCTTCAGATCCGTTGTTGCAGCACAGCCTTATAACAAGGCAAATGAGTTCTTCCTCAACGAACGCATCCATCTACATACACATTTCTTGTGGTGGCATCCAAAGAAGGAAGACAGACAAACTGACACAAAAAAGGAAAAAAAAAAGAATGGGGGGTCAGGGGGTCCATGGTGGGGTGGGTGGGTATGTGTTGGTTGGGGTTAAATGGGATTGTGGGGGCAAAGATGGACAGATCTGGAGAGAGAGAGAGAGAGAAAATTATTCATTCAAATTTGTTTGTTTACAGGAGTATAATCATTTAGACCTGAGGTTACCAACTATATTTTTGGAGGGCCAAAATTATTTGATGTTTATTCTGGGTTCCAGTTGTGGTATGATGATTTTGAGCAATGTTCATGTTCAATACTAAAGGAAAACTTCATTACACAGTGAGTACAGTGGTTGTTTAGACGAGACACTACAGTAACAAAGCAACATCCCATCAGTAAGTAAATGATGTTTTAAAATGCTTCATAATAACAGAACCAATTACAAGCAGCACCTACACAGGTGCATTTATATTGTGGCAAGTAGTAAAGTGCTAATGAACTGAAGAACTCACTTTTTAACCTAAGTGTTCCTTTAAAAGTTAATATGACTTGACTTTCCTATTGACACTATCCAGATTCATACCAATGAGCATATTATCCACACTGATCTGTAAGCCGCATTGGGGTAGCTTCACAGTTTGATATACATGTCTATGAAATAGAGTAGTTAGTCAATTACAACCCAAAAGTGAAACATTTTTGGGGAGCTTAATACATATTTTTCTGATACAATTTGTATAATATTTTAACAAAGCACAAAAGAAACAACTATCAAGTGTCAAATCTGTAGTTAAAGAAAGAATTAAGGCAAAAAGATAACACCCTACTCCTGTTAAACATTTTTACAGTTTAAACACAATGACTATTCACCTACAAAAACAGTCCAACTACTTATGTCAAAATGATTTTTTGATAGAAGTTACTGGAAGACAAGTCATGTAAGACAAACTTCAAAGGCCACAGCCAGCACAGACTTGCTCTACAAGTAACATCCGTCCGTTAAGTTGAATGATGAAATGTGCCAAACAATGCAGTTATAAAAACAGATTCAACTGAATTATTTTATTATGAAGAGAGACTATATAGACATGTCCAACAGTGGGTAACATGATTAGTGTTGTACTCACTGGCTCATGGTTTGACTTCTTCCCCACTTTCACTGTGGTACTCTGCCACATATAAGCTTTTGTCTATGATCCCAGGAATGGGCTTAATCTCTGTACCAAGCTGCTCCTCAATCCCTTTCAGATTGAAGCGGTCATCGTAAGTGATGAGGTTGATGGCAAGACCCAAGTGTCCAAAGCGGCCTAGAACACAAACAAAAAAGCCTTCAATCATTGTCTCTTCAAAATGTTTACCTTGAAGTGATCAGCTCCCCAGGTTATCCAATCTGGGTAGAATTTACTACTACTACTATTAATATTAACTACTACCAAGTTATCCAAACAATCATCACCCAAATATTATACTATAACTAATTTCTTTTCAGGGATGAATAAAGTCACCTATCTATCTTACCTGATGATTCATGTTGGCAACCAAGTTGTTGTTTAGTGATATTTTATTATTGCAGGTTTGATGCATTAACTTTAGTTCATTTATACCTGATCTACCAATGCGATGAAGGTATGTCTCTCCAAGTTTGGGAAAATCAAAATTGATGACAACATTGACAGCTTGAATGTCAATTCCTCTTGTGAATAGATCTGGAAGAAACAAGTCATTAATTAAAAGGCCAAACTACAAAGACATCGACACCTCTCATATACAAATATAAAACACTATTGTGATTAGTTACACAACCTCAAACTAATGTTTCGTTTGCAATCTAATTGGTCAGACATTTGAACATAACCATCCAACTTACCAGTGCAGACAAGGTTCCGACACAGGCCATTTCTGAAGTCGTGGAACACACGGTTGCGATGCTCCTGAAGGACAACAAAAGGGGAAGTGCATTAAGAATCAGATGACTAATAACTAGATGTCAAGTACAAAATTATATCTTATTGGAGTTATTTTTAATCTAATCTATTACATTATCACATTTCAATACATTTAGCAGACACTACAATTTGAGTCAATCAACAATCAAGCTACAGTAAAAATACAAAATACATAAATAAAAAGTAATAAATAAATAGTAAGGTTATTGATATAGGTCAGAGTAAGAAGAACAGTATGTCATAAGAATGTTAAGTATATTATAAAGAAGGGTCATAAAGTAAGAAGAGGTGCATGTTAGATGTTATTAAATAAATAGTCCTATTAAAAAGGAAATCAAATAATACATTTATTGTACAGTTATTGTACAGTAATGTTCAGTTATTGTACATTTTAATTTATAAATCAATAGTTTGTTAAAAATTAAACAACACAGAAAAGTGTCCAAAAAAAACAAACGTTTCAGCGTTAATGCCACTGAAGTATTTTGGTCTTGGGCTGGTTAACAAATATTTCACAGGGAGTACACTGTGAGCTGACCTGTCTCATCTTGGCATGAATGTAGAAACATGAATATCCCAGCTGTGATATCTTCTTGGCAAGGAGCTCCACTCTCTGAGACGAGTTGCAGAAGATTATAGACTGGTTGATTTGAAGCTGAAAAAAAAAAAAAAAAAAATTAAATACAAATGCTGCTTCACCATCATTGAACTCCAATATCACCATTTACACTGTGGCAAGCTCTCCAACCAGAGTGCAAACTAGATCTTGTCATTTATCAGCTGCAGGACAACACAGGAAAATTAACTACAGAGCTAAAAATTGAAATAATGAACAATTAATCTGCAGTTTTTCCACAGATGATAAATGTTTGCTGACAGATTCAAACTGTCCACAGATCATATAACATAAGCATACCACCGTTTTGTAACTAATGCAAAAAGCACAAATTATACAACTTAAGGCCAGTACAAATATTAAGCTTATGTTGATAAATTCAGTGGATGAAGTATTTATGACAACACCTATTTACAGCTGGGGCCATTAAGACAGCATTGGAAATGTGCAAAGTCAACTCTTACCCTGGAGAATAAGGTGTTGAGGCAATGGACTTTTTGCCTTTCAGATACATAGGCGTAATACTGAGTCACACCCTTCAGTGTGAGTTCCTCCATAAGGTTGATTTCATATGGTTTCTGCAAGTGGGAATTCTTTTGGGGAAAAAAAAAAAAAAAAAAAAGAACAGGGAAAAGACAAATTAAAACTCATCTTATTCCTAATCATACAACTAAAGCTGCTATTTGTATTGCAACTAATGACACTTCACAACAACTTGGGAAACTGTACCATAAACTTCTGCACACTGAGAGGGAAGGTGGCAGAATAAAGCAGAATTTGTCTCTGTTTGGACAGGAAACCCAACAGCTCTTCCATCATGACAACAAAGTCCTGAGACAGCAGTTTGTCAGCCTAATTACAATAGGTGAGGGGAGAAAGTGTTTGGTTTTAACTGACAGCGTGTAAGATTTGACTTAAAACACTGACGCTCATTAATGTGTGTGTATACTCACTTCATCAAGAACAAACATCTGTACTTGATTGACTTTGGCGACTCCTTTCTTGATGAGGTCTAAAATCCTCCCTGGAGTCGCAATGATCACATGTACTGTAAAAGAACGATCAACACAACCACAATTACCTTAAATTTTACATTTAAGAGTTCTCTATAGGCCAATATAAATCGGGTTACAAATCACATTTTATTTTCTACCATAGAAACAGCTTTCCTAACAAACAGCAGGGGAGTGCTGCTAACTTATTCACAAGGAGATTCCATCAAAAAGTGAAGAACAAAGTGTAACCAAGAACCAGAGTTTAAGCAATAGCTACAAGCTATTATCCAAGTACCCCATCATGTTACGTTAACAGCTGTTTTTGTGTTTATAAATTGTACCCGTTTCATCCAGTCTCATGATATCATCACGTAGGTTGGTTCCACCTGTTGTAGCCATCACCTTCACTCCACCCATGTGTTTGCTAACCTGGATACATATTTGGCTGACTTGCAGAGCCAGTTCTCTGGTGGGTACTATGACCACAGCTAGAGGTGGGAAAACAGAAAAATTATTTGCAATTAATGGTCATTTCAAAAAGTTTCTTTTTTTTAATTAAGGTGTTATACATAGAAGCAGCAAACAGGATTTGCACAAAATCCTGTAATTGACATCACCAGACTGATTTATAAAAAAAATGCTTGATTTTGATGATTTTATTCAAACAAACTGTTTGACAAAGTGAAAAGGATATAGCTTTATAAACATGACTTCTCTGTCAGTAAAATGAACCTGAAGACTACCATAGAAGTCACCATGTGTCACCATGACTACAAGTATTACGTTTGCATAAAAATATAAAATGTCACTTTGAGAAATTTGCTGAGAGGGGTGGAAATAAACTGCTCTTACCTTGTATGCAATCCCTCTTTAGATCAATGCGTTCAAGTAAGGGAATGAGGTAGGCTCCACTCTTCCCTGTGCCATTCTTTGCTCTGGCCAAAATATCCCTTCCTGACAGTGCAATAGGAATACTCTCCTCCTGCAGAGAAGGAGAGAATCCATTAACTTTTTTTGTTTACCCCAATGACTAGACATTGCAGAACTCATGAGATACTGATACTACATAAATCTAAGGCAATGTGTCTAATAAGTCATGTCATCATGAGTGCAATTTAATGACAACTTCCCCTATTTTATTACAACCATTGGTGCACAAATGTATTGTGTTTACAAGCTAAAGCAGTTAGGCAGCATTTTGTGTGTCCAAGTTCACCTGGATTGGAGATGGTTTTTCCCAGCCCATCTCAAAGATTCCCATGAGCAGCTCTCTCTTCAGGCAATAATCTTCAAACTCATTGCCTTTTGTTGCAGTCACGTCCTGTAATCATTAATGACAGGAAATTTAAAAATACTCAGATTACACAATGTAATCACATTATAAACATTGAAAATAAAGGATTGGTAATATATGACCAGTGTGTTTGGGGATGAAGGGCAATGAGTTGAATATACTTTGACTCCAATTTCAATGGTTAATTGTGATCATGTAGTATATGCATGCTACAAAAGACAAATGTAAACATTTAAATGAAACTGCTCCTTCGAATCATCACAATATTGATGAGTGCAATTCAATAACAAATGTAAAATCTATGCAATCGGTCTACTACCAACCGAAGTTTTCATTCTCATGTCCTTTGGGGGCAATTTCAGACTTTTCTTCCAGTCATCTCCAGGCCTGCAAAGTGTAACATTGTAGTCATTGGTATTATGATGTTCAATGCCAAATAAAAAATGTTATCGTAAAAAATAAAATAAAAAAAACACTCACTTGATAACAGCATTAGTTGTTGGGGCTTGCTGGGGATTACCATTGTTGATTGTGCCTTTTATTTGGTTGAGCTGCTGCTGCTGGGGGCCTCCTCCACCTCCACCTGGTGCTCCAGCAGGCTTCACCGAGCCCCTCAACTGTCCATTCTGATTAGACAACCCCAAGATCACTGGGTTCTCTGTCCTGGCCGTACTCATCTTTTCCTTTCAGTTTCTATTCCAATGCAGGAAACTTTTTTGCAGTCTCTGAATGGCGTCAGTCCAGTTAGCTGGGCCACAAACAAACTCAAGAGATTGTCCTTCTCTCTCAAAACTTAAATTATCACTATAGTAAGTGCCAAAATTCGATCTCAGCAGGATCTTCAAGACAAAAGCTTCTCCGTCATTGAGAATCAAGAATCCAATTCGAAGCCCCCAGTTCTTAACAAAACTCATATATATATGTGTGTGTGTGTATAGATTCCTTGAGCTCAGATGGAATCGTTCACGGTTATCAGGAAAGTCAAGACCAGGAAGAATTCGCTTTCATCCGAAATTGGGCCGCTTGTTCAGCTAGCCATGCTAATTAGCCTCACTGGACCGCCGCGTCCTCTCTCCTGTTTTTTCCCCCAACCTTTAAACAAAAGTTGACCAGTTATTAGAAAGTAAAACCGTATTAATCAACACAATGGTTAGGAAAAGACAAGACAACAACATGTTTAATATTTTGGTTGTTTGTGGCAGTGAATGGGTGGCCTGCGTCAGTAGTTAGCAAATTCAATGGAGGATTAAAAAACAAACGTAATGTGTAAATAGTTAGAATTGAACAGGTCGTGTAGATATACTTAGAACAGTTCTCTAATTGTTAAATAGTCTATGTGTAGTACATGGAATCTGACGTTTCTTTTCATTCGATTGACTTGAGACATTAGCCTTATGCTAGCAGCTTGTTAGCCACCGTCAACTCAAACAAGTAAATCAAGCGTTAAGTTTCAGGCTTACTAGCCATGCTAGCTATCGATCGTAGAGCACAGATGTCAGTTTAATTTAAATGCGTGACCATTTGGGAGGCATTAAACCATACATAATAATTTTACAAAAAAGACATAGGACATTGTCCTCCACCAGTTGCAATCGATTCGATTCAGCTAAGCATGCTAGCACAAACTGGCTAGCAGCGAAGAAATAACATTACCAATACTGATAAATGGTTTAGGTGGTTGCAAATAAAAAGCGACTCGTTAGTATCTAACAGAGGACGAAAACATTCGAAGTGTGTGTACATTTACCTTCAATAAACGCGCTAACAGATTCCCTGCGTGGTATTCGAAAACTGTATTCAATTTTAGCTGACTACGAAAGACTCTTGTCAGGCAGCCGTTCAAGATGGCTTCCACTCATATTTGAACCCGCCCCCAGTCAAACGATCAGCTGATTTCATTTCAAATCAGGCAACTAAACTATGCCTCCTCTTAGCTTCGATTGTTAATATTATTATCGCATATTTTAATTACTGCAAACAAAACAGAATTGATTTAGATCTATCAATTAAAATGGCTTCTGATAACAGAATTAGATGTCAAAGATGTATATGTATATATGTTGCACCCCTGGCAACAAGGGTTCTTTACTTTGTCCTACACGTCGCAAGAAATTTTTTTTGTAAATGAAATAAATAAAGATTTTGTGACAAAAGATGGCAAAAATCACCATCTATTAACTGTATATCAACAACCAAACCAATTGTAAAATAAAATAAATGCAGAAATTGTGACAAAAAGATATAAGCATTTAATCTAATGAAAATGTTGATTGTACTAATGCTTGCTATATAGGCTTCAATTTTCATACGCACATTTTAGTTTCAGCTTTACCAGAAGCCCCAAATGGGTAATTCCCAGAGAAGAAAAACATAAAAAGGTCTAACATAAGGAAGTACATCAAATTTCACTAAGGCAGTGTCAAAAAATATTCAAGTGATGGAGATCTACCAGTATGGCAGTGCCCTTTACAACCTTTCAGGTAAACCAGTAAACAATTGTTATAGTAAGTTATAATAAATGTTAGGTTTTATGACATTTTCCTGTGTGTACTGTACAATCTGTGCAGACATACTGTATATGCAAAAACAACATGTAAGATTATATCATATTCAAGTTAAATAATCTTACAAGTGCAACTGCAAATAGTAATTTAAATTCTGTGTACAATTGTTTTAATATAATGCAATATATAATTGAGAAACATAACAACGCATAACATAACATAGGCTTCTGGTTTGAATTACTTAGCTGTTGAAAAAAGCTGCCAAAAATGGTGTGGTTAGGTCACAGTACATTGGGTTCAGATTGGGTGTATGCTGCTGCTTTCCTGCTCTCTCTCTCTAGGGAATTTAGGGAGGTGGTAATTTGCCCATAAAGCAGGATGATATATTGTATTTTCCAATCACTAATGATTAGCATGCTTGTTAAGGCAATGGAATTTAACTTGTCTATACTTTATAGTCTTCTAAATGTTGTTAATATACAATTAATATACAATTTTAGCCCCAATAGGAATGTATAGTTATACTTTATTGTAGAATTCCTTTGTTACCTTTCGGTTGTTATGACATTTAAATAAACTTTTAAATAAATGTTGATTTATGTCAATTGATATTAAATTTAGTGGTAAATAACATGGGTCATCAATCAAAGGAATATGAAAATTTGGCAGCTCTAAATTTTAATAACTGGACTTGTTTCCAGGTCAGCTGCATCTGATAACAAAAATATTTTTACACAAATCTCAAAAAGTATTTTGACAGATCTTTATGTTAAATTCAACAAACTTTGACTTCATAACAGCCACAGACCTTATTTTATCTCATTTAAACAGCCAACACCCTGCAGCAGCGTGCATACAGCTGTTAATTATTTTTGTTTTGGCTAAAGGTCTGCAATTCACGCTGCTGATTTATTATATAGAGTATTCTATTTTTTTTATTTTTAATTAATATTTTAATTTGCAAATATATCTGCAAGTACAAAATGTTCATTTCAAAAGGCGTCATACATCCAAATCCATCAGCCATCATTTCCCCCCTCTTTTTCAATATAGATTACGAGAGACACTAAAATGAATTGTATGTTTTTGTACTCAACTCAACCAAATAAATTCTTTGTAGCACACTAGTTAACATCACATCACACGTACACAACTTTTTCCTTTACATTTTTGAAGATGAGCAACTTTGGAAATCCAGAGAACTATACTCATATTTCCCTGGGTTCACTTCCAAATAAGGCGAGCCGACCATGGGTGCTATGTTCCAGCCTGTGATTTCCAGCCTGATATTTCTGCTGAACGTTTTGGTGAACAGTTTGGTGGTAATGGTCCTCCTGAGATGCAGCAGTTTCCTTTGCATCACTGAAATCTACGTTCTTCACGTGGCCATAGCAACATTAAATGACAAGCACATGATAGAATCTGGACAACTTTTTGGGAATATGTTCCGTTTCTTGCCTTCTGAATAGAAGATATTTTGAAGGGACAATTGCTAAGCTTAAACATACAAGAAAACTATGCACAAAAATATGGTTTTTAACCACATTAACCACTCAAAAAAATATATGTCCTACTGGAAGAATGTCCAACTGCTAAACGAGGCCTAGTATGTAATGTCAGAAATGTCGGTGCTCCACTTTTAATGAACAGTGATTAAGTATGTACTGAAAATATACCAACTGCTTCTTTTTTGCATTTCACAGATATTTTATTCACCCCATCAATGAATGTTAAAGTTGGCTGCCTTCTTGTATATATATGCAACTTCTACTTGAATGTAATAAAGGTTTCCTTTATTGATCAAAAACCGGGTACCCCCCAGTTTATTCAAAAACAAAAATTGACAACACGACAAACAAAAGCCATCAAAGAGATCATTGTTGTTCCATTTTTAGACTTCTATTAAAACAGAGGACAGCTGCAAACAATTACAATTAGCATCTTATATACAGCAAGTATATATTATGTTTACAAGTATGCAAACAAGTGTATATACTGTATGTGCAGTATATAAACATCCATATACATACCTACAGTATAATTATTTTGCACGACCATTTGGTAGTTCCAGAAAATAAATCAAAGATGAAGCAAATATAAATTTGAGGCACTCCTCTCCTTCCCACCACTCTGTTTCAACAACAAATACACATATCTTTGGAAATTTACATAATTTACAGTATTTTAAAAAATGGCTTTAAATTTGTTATTGAACCATATTTCAGTGCTTTTCCAATATTTTTTCCCTCCATCAGTTATAATCCATATTTATTAGATTATCGCTGATGGTCATTTTGCACACCCTTTTTTTTCTAAAAGCCAAATGAAAGATATTCATGTTAAAAAAAAAACTGACACATCTGGGTAATACAGTAATGGAATTCTTTTTTAGGGTCCAATCAGAATGGCATATTGGTCATACCACCAGGGCCATAGCCAATGGGACTGTCCAGTGACATTCCACGTTGTCGGAGAGACTGTGGGCCCATCATTCCTGACTGTGGATGGGTTGGTGCCATCATAGGTCCCTGGGGTCCAAACGGGTCCCCTGGAATTGACATGCTTCGCTGTTTAGCCTGCATCATCATTATGTTTTGTTGTGCCGTTAGATTGTGCGGGTGCTGCTGTGGAGACATCATACCAGGATATGGATTTGAGGGATGGTGTAGTAAGCTGCTGGCCATCATGGCTTGCTGTTGCTGGAGTTGCTGTTGGGTAACTAAGCCTGTCCTTCCCATCATATGTCCAGGGGGGCACATTGGGCTCATACCTCCACCAGGAATCATACCCCGTAAGCCTCCTTGGGGACCACCCATGCTTGGACGTATTCCATGTGAAGGGTGGGGTAGAAGCTGCTGCTCAGCCATCATATTCTGTAGGTTTGCTATGTGGGGATTGGAAGAGGGGCCACTGCTGTGTGGTGGGCACTGTGATGACAGCTGTTTGAGGAGCTGCTGTGGAGTAGGTTGTTGTGATGTTGGCCCCTGATGTGAATTCTGATGTTGCTCACTCTTGGGGAAATACTGCAGAGTGCTACTGGGCTTATCTGAAGGAATGATGCGGGAGAGATCGAATTCAGGAATACCCGTGTGTGTGGGTCGTATGACTTCACTCAGATCTGGGCCTTCACCCATGGGTAATGAGGCGAATGAGTCTGAGGCGTGAGAAGAACGCTGGTGGGAGTGACCTTTGCTGAGTAGGTGTAGTTGCTGGTGGGATAGACTGTCCTCATTAGACTGGGGGAAATTCTGGGACATTGCACCAATAGGTGAGTGCATGGGGCCATGGGATTGTGGCTGCAAGCGAGGAAAACCTCCAACTTGGAATTCAGCTATAGGAGAAATGTTGCAGGGTCCCATTCCTTCAGCTCCTCCCATAATGGCGGAGTTCATTGCAGATATTCCCATTCGATTTGGTGAAGAGTGAGACATTTGCAACTGACCTTGATTCATCATCCCAACAGGACTTTGTGGGTCGCTGTGAGGGCCACCAGAACCATGAGAAACAAGTAATTGCGAATTCTGGAGGTTCACAATATTTCCTGTTGGTGGGGGGAAAAAAAAATCATGATAATTTTATCAAACTAATGTCAGCCTGGTGTCTTTATACTGTGGTTCTACATGGCTCATGAGGTGAGTGATCTAAATTTAACAGACCCAGAATTGATTTTAACTACTGTGTTGTGTTTTATATGTTCTTAGTCAGACTAAGGTGTAGCAGAGCAATAGCTTTTCAGGTCCCCTGAGAAAAGAACACTGAGCCACAAAGGAGTACATTTGAAAACAGAAGGTAACAAAACATTTTTTCATTCAAAAAAGTACCGTTAGTTTCACCTAATAGGAACTGATCATTTAAATCAAGGAAAATACAACTGGGAGGAATAATTGGAATCAAATTTTTTTAGAGTTGTGTATGACTCCACACAAACAAGCTAAGAATGGATTAACAATGGATTTTTCTTCTTACCTCCAATGCTAATACCAGACAGAAGAGGACGATCTGGCATCATCTCATCATCAGAAGTGGCGATTGCTTTGATTGCTTCATGGTAGAGAGGCGTAGTACTAGGCATGGCGTATTTGGACATCTGCGTCATAATAAGTGACAAGGGGTTTTGGGACGAACGGCCGTCAGGAGAAGTGGCAAATGGCATACTAGGATTTATAGAGCCGGGTTGACTGATCGGTGTAGAGTTTGAACTTCTTGGGGGGAGTGACTGGCCTAAGAATAACATTAAACATTTAATAACACAACAATGTGACTTTGCATTATTACTGACAACACATGGCAAGTGCAACAACTTGGATATTAGCAGTTGTTTTGAAAACACATGGGAGCCTACCTGTTTCAGTAGAACTACTACCTCCATTGCCCACTATTTTCCCACTGGCTGGGCCACCTGGACTTGGAAGAGCCGTTTTAGGAGATGTCCATCCTGGAGAAGCCACAGCCATGGTGGGGGATTTTAGTCCTCCAGAAGAGGCAGATGGAGAGTGCAAACCAAGGTTGGAAGTCGCCATTACCTGTGGAGATTTCATGGAAGAATAGGACGGAGTCCCAGCTCCAGATGCAGGGGGAAGGGGAGGATGATGCCCTGCAGAGGAGCTCTGCGTGGGTGATTTCAGTCCTGGAGCAGAGGGGGATGCTAGGGCAGGAGATGGTTCTTGATTAAGGGACGGTGACTTAAGCTGATGAGGTAAAGAAGGAGAGGTCATGGAGTTAACGTTAACTGTTAAGTCAGAAGGGTGAGTGGGTCTAAGGTTACCTCCCCTAAGGCTCCCAGTCACTGGCATATGACTAAGGCGTGATGTATTTCCCATTTGATTTGAATTTTGCTGTTCAGACCCAAAAATTGAAAGCCCATGCAGTTGATAGGGCCTCTCCATCTGTCCTTCAGAGAAGGGACTTTGATTGGGGAAATGGTAAGAATCATCAAGTCCCCGGATCACACCTTTATTTCCTCCTTGTCCGTTCTGAGACGCCCTAACTTGTGTAATATCTCCAGGATTAAACATCTCATCTAGAGGCCCCCCACTTGCAGGACCTCCTCCGAGCTTCTGAGACAGCATCATCTGCTGCTGTTGCTGAACATTCATTTGTAGGTTCATATTCATTGGGGAATCTACCAAGTCCCTAATTTGAGGACCCATTCCAGTGGAGCCCAAAGTATCCCGTGATCCAGGGCAGTCCATTGGATCACCTTGACTAGAGTGTGGCCCTCTACCAATTCCTACAACAGAAAAATATTTTCTAGGAACTGGAAGGACACCACGAAGAGGACCTGCACGATTCATTTCATCCAGCCACATCATCCCTGACCTGTTAGGTCTTTGTGCCCTTAGGTCCTCCAATGATAAACCCTCCCCTGGACTACTTGGAAAACCGCCCTCCCTAGGTTGACCTCTCTGCATCGGTCCCAGGAACCTCGGACCACGTGGTCCTTCTTGATGCATGTCTATCATTCGGGCATTTCCACCCATTCCTCCAAACAAATTGCCTGGAGGCCAGTGCTGCTCTCCAGGTTTGCTGTGATAAGGAGGAGGGGGTCCTCTCATCAACATCGGACCTCCATGTATGCCCATCTCAGACATCACCCTAAAATGCTGAGGTTGTGCAGAGGGTTGCATTTCTTGTCGCCGTCTTTTCTCTTGGTAGTATTCTTCTTGAAGTTTCCTCCATGCCATTTGCTCTGGGGACAGTCCATCTGGTCCAATCAAAGAACCCATATCAACCCCAGGTGAAGACAACGGATGATGGGGGTGCTGTGATAGATTATGCATAGAGTCCATCTGAGGGCTGTTTAGGGCAGGTGCACACAAAGGTTGTGTCTGAGAATAGATGGATTGTAGAGGTTCTTCGTACTTCCTCATACCTCCAACTGGGGTCAAAGCTGCAGATAGCATACTGCTATTACCACACTTTCCAGAGTTATTGGTACCATTATCATTATCCTCAAGAATGGCCATCCTGTCAGTATTGATGTTAACATTTAGGGTGGATGGGTTATTGGTATTATTGTTGGTGGAGCCATCTGATTCACCGTGGCCTCCACTCGCCCTGCTACGCAGCAACATTCGCTCCAAGTGTCTCAGCGTTTGCAAAGAGCGTTCCCTATGCGCAAGCTGCTCTTTAGAAAGTCCATCTATGTTCCCTGGACCACTCCTTTGGTTTATATCGCCTTGTAGATGTGCTGATAAGATGGATGTACCTGCTGAGGGGGAAACTGAAGAACCAGGAAGAGACATAGCATCCACACTCTCCCCCTCTCCACCCCCCAGGACCGGGCCTGCAGATGTAGCTGTGTTTCCTGATTCAGATCTATTGATAATGATGCTGTTAGTACGGGAGGTTTCACCTGCTCTATTCAGCAAGGTTTCATTATCAGAGTGATTTGCTGATGATGGAGCCCCAACAGAATGCAATGGGCCTCCAGCTGCTGACGAGGCTGTCTGTGAAGTTCCACTTTGGGATATTGGGGTTCCCATGGTTGGAGAACTAATTGAGTTTATTTTATCCGAAATGTAATGAGCCTTTCCAGTTGGGTGTCCCTGTGGTGGACGAAAAGAGAAAAACAACAGATAAAAATACTGTTACTTCTCTTGCTTTAGATTAACGTCATCATACTATACACTGATCATCAATAACATTCTGACCACTGACAGATCAAGTAAATAACACTGATTAACTTTTTATTATGGCACTTGTTAGTTATATCCTATACCTATAGTTTATATGTTGAAATTATTTAAAAGTCACCTGAAATTGAACAACAACCTCATATGTTGTTTATTAGGATACTCAGCTGTACATGTCTCACCTGCTCCAGCTTGGTGCCTTGAATGTTTTGCTGGTGAAACAGGAGAATGGAATCGCTCTGTCCTGTCAATACTGCATCAGCAGCACTGTCAAGAGTCATGACCAAAAAAAAAAAAATGATCACACAGCAACAGTATACACTCAGGTACACATTGAAGATTAAATCTAGAGAAACATACTTAAATAATGTTAAACAGCATAGAGAATTGACAGAATGTAAAACTTAATTTGTTCATATTGTGCAAACACCTCTCACCTGTTGGCTAAATTGGTTGTGAAAACATACACAACTTGTTGTGAAGACTGAGATGATTCTACTTTCAAACTTGGTCCCACTGCACATCCAATGACAGGACCCCCAGGATCAGACATGGGCCCTGAAGACAGGTGGTCTGACAGCCCCTTTATTGGACCTAATGGCCCACCTGAGGTAAATCAACACACAAGAGTTTCATGTGGTAATTCCAAAGCAATTGCATCCTCTGTGCTGCATTTCAACACTAGATGGAGCTAAAGCACATGTAAAGACTGAAATAGTATTCTCAGATTAGGTGGTAGTGTGTCATTTAAGGTCAATAACCTTTTCGTTTAGCTTAAGTGCAAGATCTGTAAACAGTGATGGATAATTTATAGCTTTAACCTGTTTTGAAAACAAATAAGACCAAGACCTGGCAGGGGATTTCTCCATGTAATTCATACTGCCTCCATAGTCCTTGTCACAATGACACTATTGTCAGTGAGAACGGTACTGCTTTCAGACAGCAGCAAATGGCATGGGATTTCATCAGGTGTGGAGCTAGACTGACTCACGGTGGGTAGTTGAGTGCGGCTTGTCTTCATCTTCTTCTGTCTCAGGTCCAGAGCACCATTCATCTCCACTGTATGGCTGTTTCTTCTCCAGGACACAGCGACGCTTGCTGCGCACAACACCCTCTAGGGAAAGCAACAAAATAGACTATTTTGTACTGATATCTTTTTTTTTGTAATTGTTTTATCATCTAAGTGTAATTATAAGGATCATTTTAAAACTTCCTTTAAAAACCTGAGTCAAGTTTCTTCTCTCTGCTAGAGTTGTCATTCAATCCAACTAGAATAAATTATTAGTGAATAATTCAAAGTAAGAGACTGTTCAACCCTAAAGTAAACTAAAAAAAAAAAAGTAACAACAGCAAGAAACAAATGCAAAACCAATAGGTCAGTGCTGAACCATGTGAGCAAAATGATGCTGAGAAACTCTCAAAGAGGAACTATGTTTATCCACCCACACTTTGTCATGACTGAATGACTTTCATTAGGGTTACTAAAGTTTCATGACCCCTCCCCACCCGCCTGAGTGTTACAGAAAGCCTTTGAACATGACGCTGTGGCACATAAATGACACGTACTATCAAAGGCTAGGGGAAAATTCTGTTGTTTGGCTGAAAGGTCAGGGCATTTCAACATGAGAGACAGAGAGAGAGAGACAGAGAGAGGGAGAGGGAGGGAGAGAAAGAGAGAAAGAGAGAGAGAGAGAGAGAGAGAAAATACTTTCTTTCCTCGCAGTCCTTGCATTCACTTCCTGCTGTGGAGGTGGTGAATTCACACAATGTGTTTCAAAGATGTGGCTGATAAGAAGGTAAAGGAAGTGAACTTCTGAATTCTCAGCAAAGAAGCATCTGTACAAAACTACTTACACACTACCATTGTTTGCTTCCGTGCCTGCATGTCTTACCTCCTTTGGCATCTTTCTCTAGAGCTTGAGGAATGGCATTTCTTGATTCATTTGAGTCAATGGAGACGCTCCGCTCCCGCTTAGTCTTGGTTTTTAGCATCCCTCCGATATTGCTTGCCAATTGGCTGACAGTCTTTAGCCCCGGGGTGCTAGGAGAAATCTGGTTGGTTTTAACTCCATGGCTGCTGATGCTCTTTGAACCTTGGTAGCTAGCAGCCCCATGTTGCTGAGCTGGTTGGGTTGCTGTAGGTATTTGTGATCGGTTGTCGCCGGTGACCTGTTTGCCATGATTGGCCAGTTTACCGTCTTGGAGCATTTGAATAGTTGGTGAAGGTGTTGCAGAAGAGCTGTGCCAGTTTGTCAGTGGACCTCACATTGTTAACAGCGACCACTGAAGGGAAAATGATAAATAAAAATCTTTAGAAATGGGAGAGGCAGAAAAATATTAGATCAGTATGGTTTGAACTGAGGCCAATAAAAGCTTCAATTATGTAACGAAGCCTCTCTCTCCTGATGTTCTATTATGTGAGCAGACACACAACAAATATGTGAGCTATGACCTAAGGCACTACAATCTTCATACCTCAGTTTGTTTGCATTTATTATTAGACTTGTGGATTGTGAATATTAATATGTAAAAGATAAGAAGGAAGGGATTATTAATGTTCATACTGCAGTTCAGTAAGTGAAGTGAAAAACAAAATCTCTAAAGTGAATGGACTATAATAAATAGGCAGAAGGAGAATACTTTAGGTGTTTTTACTCACCATATAATAAAACACAATGTACAGGAAGTCATAGAGGAAGTCACCATAGACATTCTTTTTTTAAAATTATATAATAATGCATGGCAACATTTTGTAAAGTTGCCTTAAATGGCAACAATGATTTTAGTTTTGGGTTAAGACTTTCCTGCCTGTGCACTTACCTCATCTCACCCAGATGTTGAGCTGCTGCCACATTGCCATGCTGCAGGACATATTACTGACCACAGTGGGACCTGCAGATGACAACAGGGCAAAGTTTACATTCTGTGCTAAACGTCAAACCATAAGTGAACATAAACTCAGCGTAATAAACAGAGATGGAAAAATGTGGTGAGAACTTTGCTGTCAGGTAACTGTTCCTTTAAGGGACAGAGCAAAACACTTGAGTCATACCAGGGGAGTGACTTGCAACTCAAAAGTAGCTCAGCAGTGTTTTTGGACCCACCCCCAGCCAAACACTTTACAAACCACAAAAACACCACACATTCCACAACACTGTCTGTAGCAATACCTGTCACTCCCTTCCTCAGACTCATCCTGTGTGCAACACTTTGTTCAGTCTGAACTCATTGCTTGCTGTTTATTACATTCTGTTAGGTTAAATATACATTTATTATAGTTGATCTATTTCAGTGTCACATAGAAAGATCAACATCAGCCTTCTGCAATCTGAGCCTTTGAGTCCAAAAATGCAGGACATTTCTTGACACCAAAGGTTTGTCTCTTGACACAACCTGTCCATGTCTATAACCCCACACTTCTGATTTTAACCTTTGCAACCGGGGTGTGTGCCTCTGTGTTAAAGAATGTGTCCAGGCTACATAATAGTTGTAGACAAGTTTCCTTACTGTATATGTGTTAGAAAAACACTTCTCCAGGCCTTTCAGGTTCCAGCACAAGGTCCTTCTATACAGTGTTGGTCAACAACAGTTGGTAACAAAGACATCAGAGCCAGTGCAGAGACAATTAGCCTAGATATGACAGGCATGAGGCAGATCTTGTGTAAATATTTCCACTGGGCTCCATTTTTGGCCGATGATACAATCCCATGACTGCACAGGCAGCCGGCCAGGTCAGCTGTCACTCTCTTACAAAACCATATGTAAGACTCACTCACCTTGACAAGTGATGGTAAACACAAATGTGCAATTAGTCATTAACTAATGCTGACTGAAGTCAGCACAAAAGAATGCCTTGTTCACTGGCTGAAGGTCTCATCACTCATTAACTCCCGCAGAGACAGTCAGAGATCACTCCTGTTGACAAAGTGTGAGTCACTGACTTTAATCATGTGGCGAAGCATTGACCTTTTGAGTGGACAGTTGAGAAATGATAGGTCTTCTGCAGTGATTGGTACACAGAGACTCCAAGCCATGAGCTCCACCATGCAACAGTAGACTAACTTGTACTGAAAACCACTTTTTTTAAACAAACCGGACATTCAGAGTACGTGACATAAAATGCAGTCATTTACTACAGATTTGAACCAAAATATACTAAATACTAATTTCAGTTTCTTCTGCCTTTGGGGAGAGCAGGGGGTGTCCACACTTGTTGTTTAAATATTTAGTTCAAACCAAAGCAGAAAAGAAGACGTAAGTCTGAGCCTCACACTGACATATATATGACGTCAGTGATAACACCTTGCTGCTCAGATGAGTGTAGGGTACTTTTTGTAAAAAAAAAAAAAAAAAAAGCTTATAATATACCTACATTAATATTTTGCCACTCAGTGTCTTTAGTTGATGCAATTAGTTGGACAAGATTTTGGCAGTTCTTACACTACACTACACACAGTTCCTTACACAACATTACCTATCCGTGCAGCATTCACAAAAAAGCTACCAGCTAAAACATGATTAGATTCATGAAAAATTAAAATACAAAAGTGCTAACTATGGTGTATGCTGATATTGTGTTATTTGATAATAGATTTTGAAAAATTGTATACATCTTACACAGTAATTACAACCAACACTATTGTAACATTTGGAACAATCAGTTTGACATGCTGCTGAAACAATCCTATTACGTTTGACCCATTGACGTGTACCACAGCTACAGTTACAAATTTTCCGACTTATCACTTTTTTTTTCCTAGCCAGTAACAATTATAATTTTACAGCTGGCATTAATAACGGAGAAAAATGTTCCTTGAGGTGAAGCTGGATTGAGAATTTAATTAACCATAAGCTCATTATATTTGAAATCTTTTTGTGGAACAACAGTGACAAAAGTGTCGTTCTAATGAGTGTGAACAGCTGCATCTCAAACTTAACTGCATCTTTTACCAACCCACAACTTCTGCTCTTACCCTTATTGTTTTACCACTTTTACATTATAATACTCTGGTACAAGTGGCACCTTGTTATCAGAAAAATAATTATGGTAAATATCTGATTTCAGATATAGATGGTGTTTTTTATTTCAGCCAGTAACCACCTCAGGGGACCAACAAGTGGTAAAGTAACAAGACAGACTTAAAAAAAAATGGATGGATGGAGAATTACATTAAAGAGGATCAGCAACCAATTCTTATGAAGTAAGGAGGATAATGTTGGTGCCGTTTGGTCTCTGAACCTAAACTGCACTTGATCAGCTTATGTAAAGGGCGCTGGCTGCAGTGATAAACCACACATACATGCTATGTGCAAAGAGTGATTAATCAACTGTGAGGAGCACCCACGCTGACTTGCAGCTGACCAATTACTGAAAAGATGTATGAAAAAAAAAACATGCTAATTATTTCTCAGATTTCAAGAACTTGAAATATATAATTATGGCCAGGATAGGATTACGCAACACTGTTTGATTTACTCAAATGATCACTGCTCATAGTCTTGCAGTAGATAACCTCCTCTTCCCAACAATAAGGTCATGCCCTTAGATTAGTGCAGGAGTGTAAAGTGCCTTCTAATGAATTGTCAATGTAGCAAAAAGCAAAAAGACCTGAACTGGCAGGTGTTCTGCTTGTACATACACTACTGATGCAAGAAATTGGTTTAGAATTAAAAAATAGCACACTCAATAGCTATGAATGACTCCAGTAACCACTCAAGTAAACGAACAGCACATAAAATTTATGGGAAGTTAACAAGTTAAAGTTAGCCTAATTTAAATAGCTACAGCTTGCAGATTTTAAGACAGCAATGACATTTTTTGGTGGACAGCATTCATCTTGACACACTGTTTCCAAAACTGAGGTGATGCCAACTCCATAAACAATTCCAGTTAACGCAACATAAATGTCAGCATTTGTAAAGCTGAAATTCAACACAACTCACAACACTGTGACCTAAAAGACATCACTGGAAGAAAATTCTCTGAATGCTGTGTTGGCTCAGTGTGTCCTCGGCCTTGAGCCTGACTCAGCAGCTGATAATGGACTGATGGCCAACAAAAACATTTAAGTCCAAATATTTCATTTATTTTAGGTGCTTATCACAAATAACAATTATAAATACCAAGAAATATATATGTGTTAAATATATTCACCACAAATTCACAACTGTTTTAACTGACGTTTAATGATGAATGCACTGGGCCCGATACAGTTACTTCGACTTCTCAAACACATGCGCCAATCCAGTAACCTGACACTCTGTAACAGCTTTTTACCACAACCAGGTCAGCCAGTTTTAAGTGTTACATTCATGGGTAGTTTATTTAAGTAGGTCAACAATTTCAGCAGTTTGGAGGTATTTTAACATCCGGTATGAAGACAGGGGTGGGGCTTACTGCAAGTTTTGTTCTGTTACAATAAGAACAATTTAATAAAACACCTGAAGAGCCTATTCGTCCAACAAAATGGATAGCCGAGTCATTTTCACCACGCCAAGTCACTATTAACAACAGCAGGAGCGAGTATTTTCAATTGAAATTCGCTACTTATTTAAAAGCTCCGCTCAATTTCTGTTCAACTGGGTGTGTTAGCTAGGCTACTATAGCTAGTTCAGTTTAAAGTTATTCATCTTTAGGTATCGAATTTTATTAACTAAATTGTTGTCCAAAGTGTTTGGACATGCTGTATGTTTATGCAACAGTTTTCAGCCATTATCTAATAAAGAAATGCTCTTTATTTCCTTTTAGCCATATGACCTTTTTACAGGTTGCCTGGGAAACAAATTCAATTTGACAGTTGGACCCAGTCCAGACTCATCTAATCGCTTATTTAAATTAGGTAACTAATCAGATTACTCCTTAAATTCCATAGCACATGTTCTTTATTACAAGTAATACAAGGTCTAAAAACCTCAAGGGTCTACAGAACAGTAAATAAGCCATTTGTAGGACTTGTATTGTATTTCCAAAAGGTATTTGCTTTTCATAAATAAAGTTAAGATGTTCCATTATTTTTTTCTCTGTTTTGTTATGGTCTTACACTAACAGCTGACATGATTTCCAGTACAAACACAGCTCAGTGGCCGTAAAACAGGTCAGCCTTTATAGCTCTGTGGGTTTGCGTATGCATGTGTTTGTGTCACTTTACAGTAAGAGGCTGAGCTCCTGTTTAGTCCCAGTGGGTCACATAGTACCCTGTATTTTTAGACTGAGCTTGTATTGTTAGAAGGAGTGAGCCCTGGGAAGTCGTGGCCAATGGTGACTACAAAATACAAAGGCAAGTCCAATACACAGATACCAGAGAACTACAACAAGGCTCAACACCTCTATACACTGTTTGACATTATTGATGAATGAGTAATGAGAGTGACGCACAAAAGTACACAGTGACATGGGAGTGCACAGTGAGACTTGTTTTCTACATCAGCTACTTAACCAACTTTATTTGCTCATGGAACTGAGGAAAAAAAGAAGATACTGGAGTGGTTAGAAACTCCATGACTAATAGAACAAGTATAACCAGTAGCAGAAGGAAACTTTTGAAAAGTTCAAACATGTCCTTAAAACAGTTAAACAAACCCGACTATGTTTCATTATTAAGTTATGACATACCAATGTGTTTAAGTTTTTGTGCCCAACGTAAATCATTTTTCGCCAAGACTATCAGGTGTCGTCTGCCAAATTAATTTTATACTTAAGACAGACTGTTACTTCAAACCACAGCTGATTGAGTACAGAGGCTTGTCTTTATAAGCATGTATGGAGGATCAATGTTTAAACTTTACTGTCTGGGACAGTGCATAGATTTGTATAACACATCAGAGAAAACCATGTCATATGCTGTAATAATATCTGAGCAGTGAAATAGTGTCAGTAGACACTTTGGCCACTACAATAAAAAGAAAATAACATTCAGAACATGCAGAATTCATCTTACAACCAGCAGAGAATAGATAACAGAGCCTTTTATCCACCCTGTTTTGTGACTGTTGTGGCTGGTGTAATGATGCCTTTCATGTCCACACATACAGGTTTCTAACAAGCCCAAAATTGCATCTCTTATCGCCAATAGCCACTTTCCAATTACTGAGACCTGATGAAAGTTTCACCGTCTTACTGCAAGTAAAACACTTTAAGGATCTCCTAAGGATAAATGATTTAACTCTTTAATCCTAACCTTTAACATAGATATTATGTTATGTTATAGACGACCATATATAAAATCTGCCAAAACAGTAATTATTTCAATCCTAACTATTGACTTATCAATAGGGGTGGAACTACAAGACTTACTAGACAATGTAACCCTTCAGCACAGACGTTGAGACATTAAAAATCAAAAAGACAAACTGGCAAGTGACATTCTGAGTTATGTCTTACTCTAGAAACATCATGTATTTTGCCCAAAGCACTACAGAGTCACATTTGCTTGTTCTATTCTCTAAAGGGATTTGTAAAAGACTGAAATTAAGATCTGCAGATACAGTACAGAATAGAGACTGAGTTCAGTAGAACATTGCTTGACATAATGGTTGTTTAGATACTTAATGTCTTATTGTCCAGTATAAAAGTTATATTTTGATTGCTAACAAACTAAATGCTCAGTTTTTGTGCTCATGGATAAAGTCCAGACGTAAGTTGTAGTTTTCTGCTATTGAACATAACTACTTAGAACCAAAGATTAGGGCTGTAGATTGTTTTAAAATGCAATTCAAATTGGAGTCAAATGGTTCAGCCATAGTTCAGCTGGACTGATTTTCCAAACCATCAAACTCAAAAAAAGTCAACAAACCTGACGATGGCTAAATGTTACTACACACATTCTGAAGAAGTTTATTCTGTCTCTTAAAACCAACAGGGACAACTAATCCGTTCTAAACTGTTTTTATATCACACCCAACTCTGCCTTGACACTTCTGGATTAATTTATTGTCTTGTTGGAGTGCTTTCAAATTAGAATAACTGTTGGAAAATATAGTTATGTGACAATAGGGCTCAGTGAGCATATGATGTTGCCGAGTGTGTGGGAAAAAGTATCAAGGTATCACAACATTTGGGTCTCAAAGGATGCATGTGTAATATGTGATGCATGCGGTAAACATTTCAATCTGTATGCATGCATGTACATTGTAAAAATGTTTTTTTTGTTTGGCGAGGCCCTGCTGTAAAGCGTTACACTTCCTTGTTGACGAAAAATCTTTGCATGTAAAGAACAGGAAGTGGACAGAACAATTTTAGTGAATTTCTTGTAGGCAGACAGTCTATGAGAGTTCAGAAATCAATATTGTTTGAATACTTCTTACAATATGTAGAAATTATGATTCATGATACAATTAGAGTGACTCTTAAGTTTATTCAAGAGCTGTAGATGTATACACACGATTTCTGTAACAAATTTTATTTAGCCATTAAATATTTTATAAATACTTTCTAAAGACACTAAAACCAACTTATGAAATTGGACAGTGTTTAAAGTATCTCCCCATATTCTCATGATATGTGCATTTTTTGCGCAATAAGTAAAATTTTTCAAAAGTATTGCTTACAGGTCTAGCTCTGCATGAATGCCTTTCAATCTGGGGGTCTAAAATCCAGTGTAATATGGGACAGCATACAGGTGACAGCCAAAAAAATAAAGCCTACACAGTGGGTGGGGGAGAGGAGGTCGGTTGCTGTGGCAACAAAACATGTCACAGGACTGCGCAAATAAAGGCTAACCAGTAAGCAAAGAGCAGGGGAGGGCCTGCCACAGAGGAAAGGCCAGGGGAAAAATGAAAACTGAGACCTGTGAAGATCTCAAAGCATTACTGTCTTTTCATCACACAGGCCTTTTTAGTCATTTCCAACAAGACATGACCTGAGATGCACCTTCTTTTTTCTTTTTCTTTTTAACATCAAGGAGAGGCATTATGAACTATACAAAAGGAAGTTAAGAGGTTGAGGAAAATGGATATTATAGTAGTAAGATTGATTTATTCTGTAAATGTTTTTTCCGATGTACTGTATTCAGTTTTTATAAATGGGAAACCTCTGACCTATTTAGGACGATTGGCACATTTTATGATTAAAAAAAGAAAGCATATGTATTATAAAAATTTGATGAAGCTTACAAAGTCTGACTTGATGACGATTTTGCAGATTCTGATTCCTCTCAATAGAAACCATTTACCAAAAGTAAAGTTATTCAGTGCAAAATGTACCTATTCTCGTAACAAGTGATTATGAAACATTTCCAAAAAACTCACAGGTTGTCTCTTCTGTTCAACATCTTTCGAAATGCTTGCTGACTGGATGAGGTACTAAATGAAAATGGGTTCCTGTGCACCCTAATCTGTGACAAACAAAAAGCCTGTTTAACTGATCCGCATAATAGGGTTTCTCCTGCATAAAGAATCTACAAACTAACGAACAACCAAGTTGATTTATGGGTTTTTATAAAAATTTATATTAAACAATGCTTAAATGTTTAAATGCTTAAAGTAGGCTTAAAGTTGTGGGTTTTGATTAAAAAAAAAGGAATTATACACATTTATTATGTTTATTTTTCTGGAGAAATGAATTTAGGGTAGCCCTGCAACAAGCTCAAAGTTAAGAGTTAAGAAGCCTGAGTGGCTTCCTTACCTTATGTTTTTTTTTTGTAGCTTTCCCTTAGTGACTGAGAAGCACTGAGCTCAGTTTGTATAGCGAGGGTCAGGGCTGTATCCTCTCCAGCACATTCTGGGATGAAAGCCAACTGGAGCAAGGAAGAAGATCAAACTGCAGCCTTAGCAAAGACAGAAGGCAGGCATTATGGCACTGGGGCAAGATGGAAAAAGTGCGGCTGATGGACAGATGCCATCTGCTGCCAGGTCTAGTGCACACCTACCAGTCTGCTCAAGAAAGATTGACCACTGGCAAACCAGATGTCCTTGTTCGTTATTGCTCAATTATAATAATCATCATAGAAATTACCCTATAAAAGTCCAGGTGACACTCATAAAGGGAAGCTTGTTTGTACGCAAAGGCTCCAAACCAGTGGACAATTAATGATTGTTTACAATGCTGCAAATATTTCCACATCCTTCCAGCACCGAACATGACGGAATGACCAAAATGTGTCAGAAAAAAAAAGAAAAAGATTAAACACTTAAAGTACATGCATGATGATCTAGCCTTGCACCGCTCCCTAGTGAGGTGCTAGAATATCTTAGAGTAGTCCGTCATGTGGAAACATTCTCAATATCACATTATTCTTTCATAGTGAACCTTAGGAGTGCTCGATGTAACTCACCCCAATGTTCTCAGATCACCAGAGCAGATAAGAAACACTTTGTCATCAGTTCACCAAATCTGTTTCTGCATGCACCAGAGCAGTCCATGTACATTGTGGCTGCCACGGTGCTTATTAGCTCAAATGAACTCATAACAAAACCAAACTGGCAGAAAATAGCCTCATTCAATCATACCAATAGAACAGAACACGGTCTAAAACTCTGCAGAAATAGTGCTTCAATATGTTAACAGCCTTATTACAGGTAGATAGATCCAATCCTCACCAAACGATTCATGAAGAACTAAAAACAAATTAATATTTTGTCAGCATCCATTATTATCTACTACAACCTCATTAACAGGCTTCCCTACAGACAAAATAGGAAATTCACACATGCACGCAGGGGTGCAACAAACGTCCCTTTACAAAGGGATGAGAGAGACATTTCACTTCCAGTGGAAAGCATCAGTGTACTGTAGCACTGAAAGACAATTCAGATCAAGTTGCAAACTCTGTTAGGTGCTATATATAGCTGACTGGAATATTATACACCAAATACACACACACACACACCCAGCATGAAGCATTTCCTCACATACAGAGAGAGAGAAAGAGAGAAACAAGTTTAAGAGCAGCGGCATCACACAGTCAACAGAGTGGACATACTATATTGTGATATGGAATGCTTACTACACCGAGACACCAGATTAAAAAAAAACACTCAACTTTTCAATTTATTCTCCAAAGTACATTTTTCTGCGTTACATTTCATCATGAAATAGGTATACTACTTTTCATAGACAATAATTTTCCCTTCAATAGAATAGAATTCCCATGTCTGCTTTGCTAACAGAAAAACAACATACAACGGACTGTAGGTTACAGTACCCACTGATGGATCACATTTGTAACCGCTTCAAACCTAAAATCTAAATTCATTTTTTCCCCCCATCGTTTTCAGTTGGACAGTGCTGAACCTGCTAATGTATCTACTGTCCAAGTATCCACTTTTTCTCACGAGAAGCAGCACTATCAGATTATTGATGGCGGCTAAATGTAAACAAACCAAGTGATTACCAAAACATCATGTATGTTAATGTTAATGAAAATTATATATATATATATATATATATATATATATATATATATATATATATATATATATTAAAGCTCTATAGCCTGAGATATTTAGGATTTTCAGAAAGTGCACCTCCTAAGATTTTCCTATTATACTATTTGATCACCTTTTTACCAATTTATGGTATAGCAATACATTTTTAAATAAGGCAACTTGGCAGAAGTTGTTCCAAACATCTTGTAAAACGAACCACAGATCTTCAGTAGATTAGCTCAATAAAACGAACCACAGATCTTCAGTAGATGTAGACTGGCTCAAACACCATGTCAAGTTGAGGTTTTATAGGGGAAAAAAAAGAATCATTTTTGCACACTGGAGATAATGACATTGGCAGCGTGATTGTGGTTTTTCTTGAGAAAATTATGGCAATGCATGATGGTTCAACCATCTGTTTGTATTTTTCATCATTAGTCAACAACCTCATTCCTCCACTTGCAGAAATGTTGCCACAAATTTGCAAAGGACCTTCAATGTCAAACTGTCATCTGTTGTCTTTTGCTATGTCTAAATATTTAAAATTTGTATTTATCAGTTCAGCGTACCTGGTGTAATTTTTCTCTCCCACAGATCCAATCTTCTATCCAATGCATGGGTGAGTCAGTTGGCCTTGATTTTTTTTGTGGGAAATGTGGCTTTTCGGCTAAAATTCCTACACAGAAACAACATCTGGCCAGACCTTTCCAGATAACAGATGCATGCTCCTGGATCTCAGGGTGCTAATTCAGAGTTGTAAAGAAAAGTTAGCTTGAGGTGGGTTCACTCATCTGCTTCACTAGGTTTCCTTTGCCAACCACTGACCTACCCTCGTGTGTTTGTGCTTTCTTAGAAAAGCTTGAACAGCACATCTTCATATTTCAGGGTGTTTGGGAATGCTATGCCTGGGAGAGACCTTTCGGATCCAAGGTCACCAACTTTTGTCTTGGTGCTAACATCTTTGTTAATCTGAATAAAAGAGCAAGTGATAACAAATAATTTGATATACTTTTTGTCTGTTGGTTTAAACTGTAGTCCAGGACTGTAACTACATTAGTAGGGCAAAAAAGACTAAAGATTACAGCAAATGTGCAACAAAATTGAGGAATAACCAAAAACCAAATGTCACTGTAGTCAGGACTCCATATGAACTTCAACCCACTGGCCTCATAATTCAGCAGATCAGTAACATTACTCATTTCACATTCTGGCATCTATGCAAAGCCATAACATAATGTAAAAAAAGAGCAACACAGAAATACAAAAACATCATCAGAAACAATAAAATACATAATTCCTTCAGTCAGTAGAATAAGCTGCCACCTTTATGGCAAACATGAGCATCCTGACAGTAAAAAAAAAATGGAGCAGGGGGGTAGAACGAAGACTTCAGGGACCAGTCTGCTTTACACTTCTGTCAACTATCTCCCAGTACTGAATTTAATACTGCAACTTTAAAAAATATACATTACTTAAGAATTAGCTGTAATCTTCTATATGCAGTACCTGTAGCAATTTCTTTTTGTATTATGCACAAATTACAATTTTTTAGTTGAATATTAATATTTTATGTAAAATTTATTATAATAAAATTATTTTACCTGAAAAGTAAGCATTAAAGTAAATTAAGTGTTTTTCTCGTTCACACCAGTAGAGTATTTTTGTTTCGTTTTTGTTTAAAGGTTAAAATAATATTTGAATTGAGAGTATATTCTAACCGTTTGTTTTTTCGAATGTCTATGATTTAATTTTGATTAAAAAGTACCCCAAAGAAAACGACCCATCTCGGTACACAGTTGACTCCAAGTAGAACCGCAAAGGCACATGAGGTAAAGCTGTCCAAGAATGACACATACTGTATACAGTTTGTGTACATTGAAGTAAAGCTGTGACAGAGACAGTGTGGAGTCTGTTGGCAGCATTAACACAGCACCAACATGTTGGTTTCCACATGAACACTTTGAAGCGACATGTATCGTCACGCAGCCTGTTGCCATTTTTGCTTAACAGTTTGCGCAAAAAAGACATCCAAAATGTGTCTAGCTGATTAGCTGATGGGCTAATGTAGATAAATCGCACAAAATGGATTACAACGCGCTGAGTCGGTTGAATAAGCATAAGTGGAGCCCGCTTCGCTGTACACAAGTGCGGGGAGAATTTGAGGACACATGCCCCTGAGGTGAACCCCGGTGCAGGTGAGTGAGTGAGTGGAGTCTTGCTGCGCCAGCCGTGTCCACGGGCTAACTTAGCATGCTAATTCCTGTCTCCGCTACGGCTACACGTCTGAGAGACAAACAGCGTTGGCTAACGGGATGTAAACTTTGTAATAGGCTTGAAAAACAGCCAGCGAAAGTTACAATGAGTCCACATGTTTAGAAGAGAGCAGGCGATAAGCCTGCCCTGACAGTGACAGGGGGACGGCTGCATACTCTACCCCATTTGACTGCTGTCTGAGATCAGAAGAGGCCGATGTCAGGACTGACGGCCAGTCGACATTCCCCTGAGTGGCCACCGCCGCCGCCGCCGCCGCCACCGCTTGCTCCGGTCTCCGAACCACTGCGCAACACGGTCCTGATCCTGAGCTGCGACAAGCGAAGACGCTGGTGCCTCAGATGGTGATTATTAAGACGGCGTGTCTTAGGTGGAAGTTTCGTTTGAAATCAGAGAACGTGTCACCTTGCAGCGGTTCATGACTCCCACTATTCAAGATGTAGAAGGGCAGGACGCTGCATTTCTCCGCGAGTCCATTCACTCCCAGCTGCTGACAATTATTAATGTGGCCACACGGGCATCCGTATGTCACTGTGCTTATATGTCACCGATGTGAACGAATGTGCCGCTGCTTCCAGGAAGTCTGGCGTTAGTTTTTCACACCATTCAATTCAAAACAGTCAAATAAACACTTCTTAGAAATTAAGTGGGTTTTTATTGATACAACACTGGAGGTACTGTTACAAGAGCAAGTAGCATCTCTGACAGAGGCTTTTGTTTTAACTCCAGGGAAATAATAGGTATGGACATAATCTCAATATAAAATATTCAAAAATATTTAACATAAAACACATTTTGAATATATTTAAATTACAATAAAATTAGGGAAGTGAACTCCATATCCATCTATTTTAATTCAATCCATCCTCATTCAAAACAACAAAGCTGAACAAAATTCTTCTTGGTATGATTCAGGTAAATTTATATATAATAAGTATAACACAAAA